ACAAAATATGTTCAGTTCAAAGTGAAGTTCACAAAACTACTTTGTGAAATATACCTCCATCTTTTTATCTATCAGTAGAAAAAAAGATTGGAAAGAAATCAAATGTTAAAGTTGTTTATCAGTGTTAGGACAATTAATCTATTTACTTGAATGCATTTTACTTCATAATTGCATGTCTAATATAAACATCGGGGGGAAATCACTAATTCATGTGTGTGGTGAACCGATTAATTCCTAATTTGAGGGTTCAGATGAAAAATATTTAATCTTATCTACAGGATATCTTCAATCTTAAGCTTTTTGGTCTTTATTATTTTTTTTTTGCCATACTGCAGATTTTATTTATCAAATTTCACAAAACTCTGTGGTTTGTGTGAATATGAAATGTATTTGTATTAAGAAGTATAGGTTATTTCAGTTTAGCAACTGTTTAATAATGACTGATTTTCTAGGTGATCCTGTTTACGCCCAATTCCAAAATGTATGTGTTTTAAGTGTTTCTCATGCTTTAAACATAGCCTCCAGGACCTAAACATGTTGACTCAGTGTGGCTTGCTACCATGAATCAGTGTAGACACTTTGGGAATTACATCTGCTTATCAGCTGTTAAGTAGTGGCTAGTAATGAAGGCCCTCAGAAATGGAAGTCCCATAGCTAAGTGAATTAGGTTCAGGTAAACGTTAGCTAACTCATGAACTTGTAAACTGTTCTACATTTAGTACTCTTATCTTCTTCCTTGGTTGTGAAGTACTTTTTGACTTTCTATAAACATATATATTAACAATGACAACACCATGTGGGTAGTGTAAGGCACACCTGAAATACGCAGCAGGGAACTTGTGCCTGGAGGCCTCAGAAAAGCTGCCTGGAGAACAATACCTTCTCTTTGAATGCCTAACATGCATTATAGTCATTGGAGCATAGTACAAGTTCATCGAACATTTCCTGATTAGTGACAAGGAACCTTAATTCAGGTGATGAAGCTGGAGCCAGCCAGGGAGGAGAGGTGGGAGGGATGCGGGGAAGAGGGGAATTCTGGGTGAATGGAGCAAAAGGCACACAGGCTAGGAGGCAGGAGCAAGTGAGACAGTGGGGCAGGTACACTTCACATGGATGAAGGATGAGGATGAGCATGTGTGTACCAGCAGGGCAGCAAATCAGAGGGAAGCATGATGAAGCAAAGGGAAGCATCTGCTGGACCACGAAAGTCTTTTATGCCACATTCAAAGTGCGCATTTATCACAAGCATTTCAGAGGAAGTTTCACCTTTTTTTTTCTTTCTTTTTTGAGACAGTGTCTCCCTATGTCACCCAGGCTAGAGTACAGTGGCAAGAACATAGCTCAACCTCCTGGGCTCAAGCAAACCTCCCTGCTCACATTCCTGTGTAGCTGGGACCACAGGCACACACTACCAGGCCTGGCTAATTTATTTTTTACAGAGTTGAGGTCTCACTATGTGCCCAGGCTGGTCTGGAACTCCTGGGTTCAACTGATCCTCCTGCCTCAGCCTCCCAATGTGCTGAGATTACAAGTGTGAGCCACGGTGCTCAGCCCAGTTTCACTTGTGAAGAAGGAAAATAAAAAAGATCTTTAGAAAGATGACCCCATCTGCATTGCAGAGAATGGACTGAAGGCAGGCATGACCAGAGAATAGAAGTCCGGTTAGGAGGCTGTTATAAACTAGATGAACAATTGGGAGGCAGGGCAATGACACAGAGTCAGTTATCTGGGAAGCAGGCACACAGGGTTGATGAAGTCAAGATGGTACACAGGGCTCTGACTTGAGTAACCAGGGAAATATTCATAATGAATGAGATAGGGACTATAAGAGTTATCACAAGCTTTGGGGGTGATGGAATGAGATGATAGGTTTGGTTTTAGATGTTATAAGTTGGTGCTTGTGAGTTCTGGACGGAGATACTTAGCAGGGAGTTATATACATATTGATCAGATACTGGAGAGGGAAGAAGGGCAGGTGGGAGGGGAGTTAGGCAGACAGATGTTGTGCTGGAGGTAGGATCAGCACGGAGGAGCTGTAACAGTAGATGTGTATGCTCTGAGAGGAGGAAGAGGAATCTCAGGAGACTGAAAATGATTAGCCGGAGAGGCAGGAAGAGAAGCAAGGAAGGATGGTTACACAGAGCCAAAAAAATAACTTCAAGAGCATTTGACCATCAACATAGTCAAATGCTACAGAGATAAAGTGACATAAAGATTGAAAACCACTGAATTCAGCAACAAAGAGGCCAAAAATGACCCTTGTAAAAATGGTTCAGTAGAGCGTTGGGGACAAGAGGAACACAGAGGTAGTGTTGCCTACTCCTCTGACAAGCTCTGTTGGAAAGGCTGAGGGGTTGTAGTACAGGTTGCCATTACTTTTTAATTAGTCCTTCCCTCCTATGAAAGACGCTTGATCCTAAGGCAATGTGAATATAATATTCTTGAGGCTAGTGATGCATGCATTTTTTATACTGTTGGTGGGAGTGTAAATTAGTTCAACCATTGTGGAAGACAATGTGGCCATTCCTCACGGATCTAGAACCAGAAATACCATTTGATCAAGCAATCCCATTATTGGGTATACACCCAAAGGATTATAAATGACTCTGCTATAAAGACACATGCACATGTATGTTTACTGTGGCACTGTTCACAATAGCAAAGACTTGGAACCAACCCAAATGCCCACCAATGATAAAGAAAATGTGGCACATATACACCATGGAATACTATGCAGCCATAAAAAAGATGAGTTCATATCCTTTGTAGGGACATAGATAAAGCTGGAAAGCATCATTCTCAGCAAATTAGCACAGAAACAGAAAACCAAACACTGCATATTCTCACTCATAAGTGGGAGTTGAACAATGAGAACACATGGACACATGGAGGGGAACATCACACACCAGGGCCTGTCAGGGGGTGGGGAGGCCGGGGGAGGGATAGCATTAGGAGAAATACCTAATGTAGGTGATGGGTTGATGGGTGTAGCAAACCACCATGGCATGTATATACCTATGTAACAAACCTGCACATTCCGCACATGTATCCCAGAACTTAAAGTTATATATGTGTGTGTGTGTGTGTGTGTGTGTGTGTATACACTCACATATGATGTAGGTATATAAATTTTAAAGTGATTTGAAAAGCAAATTAATTAATTAATTTAAAAAGGGTGGAGGGACAATCAGGGACTCAACTCTCCAGTCTCTGGTGCTGGGCAGACGACTTTCCCAGTAATAGCTGAAAACAGCCGGCATCTAAGCTTTTTAGACTTTGATTTCAGGCTTTTTAGGGCTGCTCTCATGTCCACCCTACACAAACGGACAGCACCCAGAGAATGTTCTCCCTGTCCTGGGCCACAGTGCCTCCAGCTCCGCTCTGCTGACCCAGAGCCCCTGCTAATGGTGAAGCTCAGCCTGAACCAAAAGATGCCACTGGGATCACTTAGGAGGATGTGACAAAAAAGAAGACTCAGCACAAAATAAAGCAAACTTGAACAGTAGATACACAGGCAGAAAACAGAAAGGCTTTTACCAGGAAAGAGAAATGTAGTATTTAAAGGCTTAAAATCTAAGCTGACATCTGGCTCCGGCAACAAGCTGACTGAGCCAACGCAACCCATCATGCCACACTGAGAAAAGCTATTGGAAATGTAACACAAAGGTATGTCTTAAAATCACATAGCTAAGTTCACAAGAGAGACAGCCAAAGGCAAAGGCTCCCAAAGAGACCCGTGCTGACATCGCTGGTGCCCCCTGAGCAGGAGAGAAGGCCAGGACAGGTGGGTATGCTGTCCTTATGTGCAACATCCTTCCTATACAGAAAAAACAATTGAATCTAACGTGGCAAAGCACTAACATCTGTTCCGTCTGAGGGTGGGCACGAGTATCTCTTATATCTCTCTGTACTGAAACACCTGCTTGAAATATTTCACTGATGGTTTAAAAATTTGGCTAATTTCCTATTGCTCCTTTTCCCAACTGGGGGAAAAGTTATTAAACAGATAGACATATTGTTGATACATAAAAGATCTAAACTTGCTTATATTTTTATTCTATTTGTGTATAATACTTTATAAAATTCTTGGAGTAGCTTTTCTTTATTCCTCTGACTCCCCACCTCCTCTTTCTCAGCCCAGGAAAAGCCTTCCTCAGGGGTCCAGGAGCCAAATCTACTGTGGAGCTCTCCCACACTGGGCTCTGAGTCCTCACTCCTCCTCCTATTGCCAAAACTTCTTTGCATCCAACAAAACACTAATGGTGTCATATGGTCACTCTTCACTAACTCCTTGAGGACAAAGGTAGTGACTTATTCTCCTTACCCAGCACATGGGTAGGAATTCTGTCTGTAATGCTTTTGGTCATGGCACAATTTCAACATGGTCTTGAATCTCAAAATAGGGTAACTTAAGTCTGGCATCAAATTCTTTCTCTATTCCAGAGAGAAAGCATTATGACTGGACCTGTGATTGCTCAGCCTAGCATCTCTACACAAAAGTAAGACAGAAGACATTTCCCTACAATTGTTCACATCGGCATAAAGGAAGAGCCCCCAGGCATGTTCCAAAGCTCTCCTAGGTCTGTGATGACACAGAAATCAAGTGTCTAGCACAGTCCCAGTGCTCTGCTTTCCAGCAGCCACACCCACAATCTCCCACCTAAGTGCTGAGAACTGGCCAACTGCGGGGCCTGGGAGCAGGGGCGTTCCCTTTCAGCTGAGCAAAGTCAGTGTCTTCTTCACTTGACAAGTCTGTTTTAGGAGAGAATACAGATACTATACATTAATTTAAGGTTGTTTTAATTATCTGCAAAGGTGCTTATGACAATCGTTTCTTTTAAATAATCTTTAAGCAGTTAAAGAGTCATTGACTCTTTAGAATATTATATTATTGAAGAATCCTTCTATAAAAATGACCATTAACTCTCATAACAGGCCCAGTATTCAGTTCTATAAGTGGAATTAAAAAAGCCTCAGATATTAGCAAACACACACACATGTATTTTTAAATTACTGTTTAATCAGTTGTAAAGACACACAAATTAGGGGAAAAAAAAAAAACACTTACATGTAAGTTAAAAACACCTTTAAAACCCAGCGATAAGCCACCAGTGCAGCTCTGACACACACTAGAAATCAGTGGTTATGAAACTGGCACATCACAGTTTGACTGACACAGTGGGAGTTTTAATTTACCATACAAGAACTAATTTATGAATCTGTTGAAAAATAACACTTCTTTAAAAAAATAGTTTGGAATAATAAAAACAGAAAGCACAGAACACCACATTCTATTCTCAACTCGGGAAGGCAAATGTAAATCCTAAATTCTGGCTGCTGGAGTTGGGTCTCTCTCCTCATGTTTGGGTGACTGAGGGCTCAACTACTACTAGGCAGAGATTGAGACACAACATTTAAAGGAAGGCAGGAATGAAATCCCACATTTTCACTCTGTATATAGAAGAATTTCTCACTTCATTCAATTTTTACTTTCATTCCTATTGCCTTGTATCATGCCCCTTCTGGTTCAGAGGGGCAGTCGTATAAAAGCGACAGAAGAGGGACAAGACTGGTTTGGAACACATTTGTGTTCAATGTTTGATTCCTTTTACCTTGTGAGAAAGTCAGAGGCAAATGTACTTCACTGATAAATCTGTGCACACAGAACCAAAAATACTTAAAATTGGGAAAGAGGAATATTTTAAAGGTCTGTCAAATTCTCAACATATATATTTGTCCTTTAATGCAAAAGGACAGGGAGGAATATTAACAAATGCACTTCCTAAGAAAATTAACCTAAAAGAGTGAATATAAAACAGTGAATGGCAGTCAGTTACCTTTTCTATTTCAAACATGTTACTAAGAAACTGATTAGTGATTTTACTTATGTTTCTCTGTAACTTTTGGTTTTTCATTGTAGTATTTGCATTCCTTTTTAGTGTGCGATTTGGTAAAACGTGGCTGGAGAGATGGCTGTCCATCACTGAGTAAGCTGCAGACAGTGGTTCTGCACAGATCATTACACTATAATATACAGAGCAGATAGTCTTAGTGTTGCGTTTTTTCTTTATCAAAGTTGTACTTAAAGAAGAGTTATAATCAGTTTTACAGCTAAGACAAATTAGTTGGTGTAAAAACTGTGTATTTAGACTGTGTTTCACAAAATTTTCCCAGTTAATGGCCTATGGAGCGTGTCAGTTCTTTATTGGAGTTTGCATAATGTTTAAAAAAAACCTATTAAAATAAGTATTATTTTAAAACATACAAAATCATTATTCAGCAGCCTACCAAATTAAAATGTAATTGGCTGCAACCTCTGTACAAGAAGAGCCTCAAAAAGAGGCTCAAGCATTGATTATAAGAGCTTTCCTACAAAATACCGACGTGGAAAATTTCATTTTAAAATTTCTGTTGAATCAGAGTTTCTATAAATAGATTTGACTGCTTGGTATGCAGAAAATCACTGTAGAGACCCTCTACATTCTAATCTATTAAATTTCAGGGTGTATTTTTCTCTTCTTAAACACAAATCTTTTCTGTCCGCACTGGAGGCACGCATTGATCAAGACATCCACTTTTACAAGGGCTGTAGAAAACAGAAATTTCAGCATCTAAGATGAGGGCATCAACCACCAGCCACTCATTACATGCACACTGGGTTAAGTGTATCAGTTTTATAAGGTATTGAGGGCAGTTAAGGTTACATCTCACAGTGTTATTTAGGATTCTGCACCTATATTACATCTGACGTATTAAATTTCAGCCAGGAAGAACTATTAATGCCTGAATAAAACCCCACGAAATACTGATTTATATCTAAAACTCTGGACAAATTTTTAGCTGACACAAAATAGTAGGCACCATTCTGAAACAATTATTCTCTCAAGTAATTTTTCTCTCAATTATAATGTAGAACTGTTGAAACCAACTAATTGTGAACAGATGATAATTAGGAAACAAAAATGTATAAATGTCCAGATTTGTTCATGAAGATACAAACTGAATATTTACTATGAATTTTAAATAGGAAAGATTTTTGTCCTAAAACTGTGATCTAGTCCTCAAGTAAAACTATAAATTTATGATTATTTTAATGGCAAAATTTTAAAGCTATTGTTTTCTGTAGTTTAAAATAAGGTATAACTAAACTACATTGTTTTTAATAGCTTTGAGATGTTATATGGTGGCAAACCCTGTTCAGTAGTCACTAGTCTGTATAAAATATCTCATAGCATATATCTTCTCCAAGTTTACACAGCACAAACAAAAACCAAAAAAGCAGAGAAAGCAAAAGGAAAACATGTTTTCTTCAGCAGAGACTATTTGATTATGAAACACTCATTGTAAGAGCTACTGCCAGTAGAAAAAGTATGTTGCCATGCCTTCTGATTTAAGGGATTTCACTGTTACCATGACAACCCTTTGAAAAGTCAGGGCTTTGAGCTCAAGTAGTAAAAGTCAATGACCTTGACAATAGTGTCGACTGTGAACCTGCCCAAGTCCTTGAATCCTACAGACCTTGCTAATGGCTCCGTCATGACACACAACTGGTGCTGAACTCTTAGAACTAACTCATTTGCTTATGGCTGAGAAACTTGGGGTCTACAGGACAGGTGCTCCTCCAAGTCCTCAGTTTCATGAAAGACAGAACCAGAACGAAGATCTAGGTCTCCTCCCAGGTCAGCTAGTGCTTAAATGTAAGCTATCACTTTGTGGAAACCTCCTTTTTACTGCACATTTTTCTCAAAAGTGGTATGTGTGGAAATCCTGTGAGTGTCACACATGGTGGAGACCAAGAATAAATATATTTCTGAGTCAAATGGACAGTAGTGGCTAATAAGAGTAGTGGTCACTGGACATTTTTGAAGCCAAATAAATCTTCTCTATCCTGCTGGATATTTTAGAAGCTAAATAAATTACCCCAATTACCCTGAGTTCCAATAAAAACACTTACTTTAAAAACAGAATGAGCCACTTATAAAATGGTGACAGCTGAGGCATACCAAATTAAACTAACTCTTGTTTCAAGAAAATGAAATTGAAGGATGAATGATTTTGTTCATTTTGTTCATTTTTTCCCTGAGTAATATATAATTAACCAAAAGTACAAATATGATATTGATTGATCATCTCTGGAGTGATTTCATGATACCTGAATAGTGGAAAATATATAACATAAATATACATTGAATCTTATTCTGCTGATGAAAAAAAAGCAAGCATATATTACAATGAATCCCTTTCTATTTAACAGGAATAGACGTGCCAGTTTAAAATTCTTCTACTCTAAGTACTAGAAGCAAAATATTAATCTTTGTGATTATTACTTCTCCAAACTAAAGGAGAGCTATCCAAAAACCATTTCATAAAAAAAAGTAGTTGTTGATTCAGGGGGATGAAAATTAGTCAAACTGCACATGTAATTATCATCTTCAAAGGAACTGGAAAACCAATCAAATATGTTGCTTTCTAGATGACAGTACAAAGATTATATTCACTGAGCAAGAAATAGGTAACAGTGACACAGGCTTACAGACTGAGAAATAAAGTAAGTTCAGGTAACAGAAATGTGATTATTTGTAAATGGCTAGATAGGCTGAAACCTCTACCCCCGCAAAAAAAAACCACACACAAAAAAACAAAGCCCAACAAGTTTGTATTAAGCCTTCTCGTTTTCACTTATGACATGCCTGAACCTGTCCTTTAAATTCTTAATTTGTTCACTTTCTCTTAATAGCAATCGGATTCTCTGCGACATTAATTAAACTGAGCAGACATTTTACAGGGCACACACTTTCCATGAACAAAGAATGTTCACATATACAGCTGGCAAAATTTTTTTTCTTTTTTCTTTTTTTTTTTTGAGATGGAGTATCCCTCTGTCACCCTGCTGGAGTGCAGTGGCGCAATCTCAGCTCACTGCAACCTCTGCCTCCTGGGTTCAAGTAATTCTCCTGCCTCAGCCTCCTGAGTAGCTGGGATTACAGGCGCTCTCCACCACGCCTAGCTAGTTTTTGTATTTTTAGTAGAGACGGAGTTTCACATTGTTGGCCAGGCCGGTCTTGAACTCCTGACCTCAAGTGACCCACTCTCCTTGGCCTACCAAAGTACTGGGATTACAGGCGTGAACCACCACACCCAGCCAACATAACTTCAATGCATGGGAAAACAGAGAAAATTTATTTAGCTATCGATTTGTTTCCTGAGAAGGAATGGCAGGGCTAGCCTTATCAGATGGAAAACATTTACTTTTAGAAAAATAAAAATAGATTAGGACATTTCTCAACTTCAAAAAAGAAACATGAACATTTTTGCTGACTGAGACCTCAAAAGTTGCAAGTGCATTTGCTTTTCTTTCTTCTTTAAATGAAGTATTACATAACATACACCAGATGGTTGCTGTGTCCTTAACTTCATTTGCAAATTTATTAGTGACCCCACCCACCACAAAAAGAGAGAGAGAGAGAAACCCATCTCAGCAAACTTGCACTTCATTAAACATTTAAGGCAAAAAGAAAAGTAAGTTCCATAGAGAGGCCAAATAAAGGTGAAATCTGAAGACTCCCCCACCCCCTATCACAGGGCAGGAGATACAATCCAGGGCTGAGGTCACTCCACTGCCTGGCATCAAATCCCACTCTCCTGCTTTCAGCTACTGTGGCCACCACAGTCCTCTGTGGGATCACAGAAGACACCTAGTAATCCAAGGCAAGATTAATCATGGTAAAAATGGCCCACAAAATAAAAGCATATTTTCCTACTTACAGAATCTGTAACTGATTTTAGTAAGAGTTCACAGCAAAATTTTAATGTGAGAAGGATTTGAAAATGAATTTATATTATTCTCAAAAAATGTCACCAAGACTTAATGACTTTTAGTTTTCACTTCCCTAAAAGTTTCCCCAATATAAATTAAACTGTCAAGGATAAGAAACTGATTAGCCAGATAGTAACCTACCTAGCAATTTCTCTTTCGAAACCTTTGAGCAACCTACCAATATTATTTTCAAACCCTCTAATCCTACATAATTTATGCCCGACAAATTTCATTTAGAAGTCTGAAGTATCACAAAGTTATCCAACTTTTTTTAAGTCTCACAGGATGGCACAGAGCCCTGGTGTGGGGGAGAAGCAGCCTGCAGATCCACGTCTCCACCCTGTGCGTTCCACTGGAGGCCACGCAGCGCTTCATTCCTGCCTTCCTTCGTCACCTCTCTCTTTTAAGAAAAAGAGTAAGCTTAAAATATCACATTACCAAACTTTTCATTATGTTTTAAGAAATTCCTTCTGGAAGTGCTCCTTGACTGTACAAGGTAATTAAATCCTCCAGTAAAATAAGCTACCTATAATTTGGCGTCCATTACTGTTGACAGTTTCACTATGGATTGTAGTCATTTGACATACTTTAAGAGAACCCTTCAAATACTGAGATGTTTATTGCATTTAAAAAAAATCCACATTCTTAAATATCCTGTTTCAAATTCCTCCTAAACTCCTTTACAGCACACAACATCAACTACTGCAATAGTGTTCTCACAATATTACACTTGAAAATACCATTTAGGAACAGTATTTTAGGAAATAGAGGGTTTAAGGCAAGACATTCATTTGGAAAAGTTAATTTCTCCCTATCATCGAGATTGACACGATTATTTTTCCACCTCTTCAGTGCCTTGGGATACGCAACGTACATTCAGCAACAGGGCACGCGAGTGACCCTACGAACAAGTGCTGAGGTTGGGAGTGCCCACTGAAACATGGAAATATTCTTACATAAGGCATGGCCCACAGGGACATGGCGTGGGAGGGCTTGTTTCACTCTATTTCCAATCTGGTGCACAGGAAATTCCTCATCTATAACTGCCCCATTTCCCCCCAGTTAATCGCTTTTCCAACAAACTCAAACCTTTGAAAAGGTGCTAAGATTGGTTTCTGTTAACATTAAAAAATAGCCCTCAGAGCCTTCCCCATCACTGCTTTAGTGATGAATGTCTCGAGGCTATTTCTTGATTCTGATTGCAAACATTGTTTGTTGTAGAAAAACTGTTCCGTCCCAAAGAATGTTCTCCTTCATCGAACTTTTTGGATTGTGAGAGCTGAATATTTTCATGTGTACCCTTTCTTCCTTGAGTTTTTTTCACTGGAAACAACAATAATACTAAGATACCAAGGATGTGCAGGCTGTAATACCAGGAGCTAAAATAAAATGGGAAAAAGTTTATTAAAATTTGATAAATTAATAATCCTTAATAACTGCACACTTGTCAAAACGTCACGTGGCCCACCTTAGGATGTATTTATTTACTACATTCTTATTTTTTCCCCCTCAGGAGAAGAAACCTGACAGTGTAGGCCCGTGGGTTTTTATAGCACTGGATAAACCCTGGCTGCTTAGAAGCCTGATTCTAGAGAGCATATTACATTCCTTTGTAAGAGTCATAAGACCATGATTAAACAGAATAATAACAAAAAGTTACATATTAATAGCAGTAGCAATCTGAAAATTTCCCCAATCCAGAGAATTAGAAGTTGAGTCAACAAAGAAAATGTGGAGATAGTTAAGACTTTTACTAGTCTGGCCTCACCTGCTATTTACTGTCTCTAAGTTACAAATATTCTAATGAGGTGAGTGACAGGGAAGCAATATTGCTTCTTGATGGTTACTTTCATGAAAAAGAAAAGCCATATTATTAAAAATATTACTGGAAACATCATTCCTCAAATTAAATATAAACAAAACGTAACCTAAACCGTATCTATAGCTGTAAATTCAAGTAATTCTGAACAAAGTACCTGGGACAGAAAATCTAACCAACAGCCCAATCACATTTTTAAACATTTACTAATTTTGCTAAAATGGAACCTTTAGCAGGACTTACTTAATGTCTTCCAGTATAATTACTGTCATATTTGATTCAATAATTTTTTGACTATATACTCTGTGCTAGGTCATTCTAAATGCTAGAATAATAAAGAATTTATAAAAAAATAACATTTTTGACCTCTAGAATATCATTATCTAATATGGCGGAGTGGAATTTGGTGGGGCAGGGAAAGGAGGTAAGTAGATTATAAAAATATGGAATTTGAGACAAGACAATTTCTATAATATACAGATCGCCACCATATTGATCAAACATAAAAGACACAGTGAAAAGGAACAGATAAAATAGAACTTATTTTCCTTTGATTAAAGAAATTAAGATAATTAATAATCCTTTGTAAAGAGCTGGGTTTTTCCCCAAAGAAGTTCAGGACAATCAAACTAAGAAACTTTTGTTAAATTTAGGAGAGGTTGAGGCAGTGGTTACCCAGCTGTTATTTCTCTGTCTAAATCACTCATCTGAGGGTTGAGTGGTATGAGTCATTCCACAGAAAAATGCTGGGACTGATTGGCTCAGGATTAAAACGTAACTGATAATGCATTTATCAGCAGGAAATGTGGCTGTGGTACTATTTTTCTATTCTACCCAGTAGCAAGAAACTTTCTTTTGAAAATAAAATTATTCCCACTGACAAAGTTTTAAGAGTAACACTTACCTGTAAAATGTGAACGACGGTTTTATAGAAAGAAGTACGAATGGCACAACTGTGTAACTTATTGCTACTTGAGTTACTATCCATGTTATAACATCATACAATAATTTAAGTTGGGAAGGTTCGATGAAATAATGTCTAAAGTTATTTCTCATCTGAAATAAAGAAACAAAAATATTTGCTGTATCTTTACATTAACATTACTTATGAAATTATACTGGTGATATCAACTGAAGGATGTGGAGTGGAATAACTGAAACTCTCATATGTAGCTGGTGTGAGTGTACAATGGCACTGCTACTGTGGAAAAAGTTGGTTCCAAAAAAGTGAATACACATTGTACATACAGTGTGTGAGAGAGAGAGAGAGAGAGGGGGGATGAGAAACCACAGGGAAGACACAAATGACTAATGAGTCTGGGTAAAGGGCATATAGAAGTTCTTTGCAAATTTTCTGTAGATTAGATTCTGTATGAAAAAGTTTCCCCCAAAAAAGTTTAAGACAACACTGCCTAGAGATCCCTTAAATCATATATGGTAAAATATAGTATATAAATAAAGTTTAGTTTACCTTCATCCTTAACTCTTATTTAACCTCCGCATTTGTGAAAAACAAAGTATTCCACACTGAGCTTAGGTTGAACAGCACTTAAATAATTTGCATCCATACACATTATTCATTAATGGAAGGTGGGAAAAACTTCTCAGAAATGGTGTTTTCTAAATATCACTGTTTTAATACCTTTTTTGTCAGCTTTCAAAAGAGTCAAAACATTTGTTTTGAAATGTTCAAACTTAACCAAACATTTTTCTTGTCAAATATACTTATATAGGTGAGACACAGCCCTGCTCTGAAAATACCACATGCACTGTTCAGAGGTGAGTTGGTGCATGGCTACTGCCCTTCCACACAGAGCCCATCATTCTTAGTGGCTAGGCACTGCTCTCTCCTGCCTAGCTCACCATCATGGCAGTCACCTGCTCTTGATTCCCTCCTGTCCACCAATGACAAATCCATCTGTCCTGGGGTATGGGCTTTCAGCATTCCATTCCTGCACTTAAAAACTATACCTGACCCCTCCCATTGCAGACAGAATAGGATTAGGCTTCTTCTCTGCTTGCTTTCAAAACTTGGTTTTGCTAATGTCCTTCCCATGCCTAGAATGTCATTTTTTCCCCATTATGCTTAACTCACTATTGAAATAACTTTCATCTCTCAAAGTCCGGATCCAAACAGCTTTCTAATGAGGCCATCTCTAGTTAACCTAACCAAAAGAGATCTCTTCCATCTCCAAACACCTATGCTACTTAGTATTTGTAACACCCATGGAATCTGTCACACATGGCTTGTGGTGCATATGCACGTCCACATACATACACATGCATAAGGTATGTATACACACATACAACTTATCCACCCCAAAGTACCTTAAAATGGAACAGGGTAAATATCTGCTAGTTTGTTAAATGAAGCCCTCTTACCTCTAGGTACCATAAGCAGCTGTTTCAAACATGGTTTTTGTCATGTCACATTCCTTGGTTTTCAAGGGCTTACACTAAATTACCCTTCTCCTTACCTCTCTCATGTCACCAACCTAATTTCTCAATGTTTCCCAAAATATTACTCTAGGTTCTATCCAGGCAAATACTCTAAAGAACAGTGCCCCACTTCCAGTGTGGCATCTACCTGGCCACAGCTCATCTACCAGTTTGGCCTACCCACAGTCAACTCTTCATCTCAGAGAGGACTCAAAGGTTACGCTTTCAGGAAACATTTCTAAAATAAACCTACCCATTCTGATCATCTTTATTTAACTCAGTTTTTATCTCTCCTTCAGAAAATTCTGTAAAGACAAAGTAACATTTTGTGAGTGCCTCCTACCTGCCAGGCACACAGAAACATGTTTTCTCCTCACAGGAACTGGGCATGGAGCCTAGCCTGTGGTGTGTGCTCAGCAAACATGCATTTACACACCTTGCTTCTAGTGCAAAGGACAATACTGATCATGGCCAAGGAAAGAAGATAAACCTTCTAACAGAGATGTACTCAGCCTTTTTAACAGTTCAAGTGGACCATTGAATTGTAAAATAAAATTCTTGATACTTACAGCTCGTGCTGCTAATGTCATTAACACCCCTGTTAGAAACGTTAGATAATATCCTGGGTATACCCCGTGCCAAATGGCAGAGAGAATGAACGTCTGGATAGTTGGACTGAAGGAGGCTCGTTCATAACACACCCTAGAAACCATGAAAAACATGGAGAGCCAAGCGGAGTGAGTGACCCGAGTTTACAAAGCCTGCAATGATTATTCTTTTATTACCTGACAGGATTTAGGGTAACTAGAGAAACAAATACAACTTATCCTAGGCAATAACTTAGCTGTGATCTCAGGGAGGCTACAGTGATTAAGTGTCAAATTTAGGAACATAAATTCCCATCGTCTTACTGGTATATATAGTAACTAAAATGATCATTTCTAGTATTTGGGAGTCTATACAATTTACAAAAAGAATAAATTTTAACTAATGTTAAGGTTATTTTTGTCCTACATTATTTTATTACTTTTTAAAAAAATATATATCAGTAACTTTCAACTGACCTAATAACACTACTCCTTCTGACAGGCAGACTGAGCTTTCCTATTAACAGGGTTAGAGAACTCAGATGAAAATAAAGTTTCCCTAAGGTATCAAATTTAAAATATAACAATAACAAAAAATAACATAACAGATTAGCTCAGAGGATCTGCAGCCCCTGGGGAGACTGGCAGGCACCCTGAAGAGATGATAGCACATGCTAGTCATCTCAAGGGATAAAGATGTTTAATTTGTCATTAAAAAGGGACACTATAAAAGAAGGCTGCTGAGCGCCTTATCACTATAGGGGCCTTTTCTTAGGAAATAAATTCAAGATAGGGCAATGCGCTCACAGGGATGGTAAGAGATCCCTGGGAGATTCTGTGCCATTCCCCAGCTCTGTCCTTCACACCTGTTACTCCACTCAGCCTGGGCTGCCTCTACCCTGTTCATGAGACACACTCCCGACAGAAACCTCAGCTCAAGCACCCACCACGTCCAGGAAGTTCCTCCTGCGTCCCTCTGTGCCCTCGCTGTTCCTGCTTTCTCTCTCCTAATCCTCACCACAGGGAATAGCACGTGTCTGATTACACAGCCGTGTCTTTAACAAAGCTGTGAACTCTTTCACTTTGAGGGGCTAGGTCTTTTTGTCTTACTAGTCTTTGTATCCCTTGACTAAGAAAAATCTGTTGAATTGAAACCTTTAAAACTGGGACTGTTCTGGAGTACCCAGGGCACAAGTACTGCGCTTGTGCAGGCACTTTTGAATTTAAACCACATCTCTACTGAATGGGATCAGAAACTGCAAAGGAGGACACTGGTGACCTCCAACATTGGTGGAGGCCTTTACAGGAGGCTGAGAGGGCAGGATAGCTGCACATGCAGGAGAGCTGCATTCAGGACTCAGGCCAAAACAGTTCTGATTCTACACTGACTTGCCTAGGAGGAGGCCAATAATGTTTCCAAGGGTGACACTGAGGTCACAATGTCACTCAACACCATTAGTTTAATCAAGAACCTGAATTCAGTGAAGCTCAACCTTAAGAACTAGATGCCAAAGCACATCTAAAGATTGTTTTTGAAGGAACGCACCTTTTGAGCCAAAGAGCTGTCTGAATATTCCAATTATCAAGAAACATCTTGAAACTTGTTGACATCTGAAAAAAAAGGCAACTTTTTTCTTTGTGTCACAAAATAATGAAGCTTTAAATATAAGTAATAATATATTATGCTAAAATATTAAAACAAAAAATTGCTTAATATCAATGGTAGTATAGTGATTTCTCTTTCCTTAATCCTGTTTTTCTAATATAGTAACATCATTCTATGTAAGAGAAGTTTATTGTTTGGAACACTACAAGGTAAATGGATTGTCACCATTTTCTCCTGTATGTTAACATTTACAAGGGTTGTCATGGAATTCTTCCAAAGGAACTCCTGAGACAGTGTACAAATGCCTTCTGATGGCCTCCCTCTCACACTGAAGACTGGGGTACCCACCTAATTACCTCCTTCCTGCCATGCTCTGCCATGGTTCTGGGTGAGGCAGACATCTACCACAACAACCGGCCCAGCCGTTGTCTCTCAGTGCCCTGGCTACTCTGAATTTTGGGGCTGCCTGTTTCTGTGCTGCCCCTGAAAGAGTAGATCTCCCCACCCAGATCTCTCAGGGCCTCCTATCTTTCCAGTTACTCCCACTAACACTGTTCTTTGATCATAGAGGGAACCCTTGGTCTCCGGCCTACTTTTGTCCTGTGTAACTCTCTCTTTCTCTGGTCTTGACTTCTGACTATTTTAGATTTTGTGTTTCATTATTTACTGCTTTTACATCAGAATCTTTGATGTTTTTGTTTCTTTTCCTTTCATTCATCTCCCTATCAAAATCCTAACTCCAGATCAACCACACTGTCCACCCGCCCCACTGGAAACATCTGCACGCTGTTTGCAGAGTATCACCACATTCCAGACCTTTGTCTTAAGTTCATGGTTCTCCACCGCAACTGAGCCCTCAACCTACCAAATAATCCTGTTTTCCTAGACAACTAGTTCATTCTCCTCTTCCTGAAAAAAGCTACTGGACTGAACCATTTGAAATTTTCTTTTCTCTTTTTTTTTAAATAAAATCAAGAAGAGGTAAGTGTCAGCAATTTCACGATTCAACCTAATACGCCATCTATATCTCTGGTCCTCTCACCTCCTTCCTCCCTCACAACAGGTGAGGTAGCCTCCTACTTTATAGAGATGTTATAAAATCATCAGACTCCAAATTCTCACCATCCAACTACACACTCAGCTGCACACACACTTATCCTGCCCTCCGTCCTGTCTTTATAAAGAGAGGTGGCCCTTTTCCTTTAGGGCCAGTCTCTCCACTTCCATCTTCTCAGGGACTTCATTGATCAATAGATCTCTCTCTCCTTCAGCTACAGGGAGAGCTTCACATTCTCCCCTTCAAATCGTCTCCTAATCAGTAAGCACATTCAATCTCTCCATTTTAAAACAAAATTAAACAGCTCTCCTCAATTCCCTGTTCCCCTTAGCTACTCCCCTGTTTCTACCCTCTTCCTTTTATGGAAAATGAACTCCTAGGAGTTGTATAATCTGGCCCTTATGCCAATCCCTCTCCTGAAACTGCTGTTCATAAAACCATAAACAAGGATGGGCGCGGTGGCTCATGCTGGTAATCCCAGCACTTTGGGAGGCCGAGGCGGGTGGATCGCATAAGGTCAGTAGTTTGAGACTAGCCTGGCCAACATGGTGAAATGCCATCTCTACTAAAAATACAATTGGTGTGGTGTGGTGGCAGGTGACTGGAATCCCAGTTACTCGGGAGGCTGAGGCAGGAAAATCGCTTGAACCTGGGAGGCAGAGGTTGCAGTGAGCCCAATCCCGCTACTGCAATCCAGCCTGGGCAACAGAGTGACACTTCCTCTCGAAAAAAAAATAAATAAATAAAACCATAAATGATGCAGGCATTTGTGTCCTTCTCTTGGTATCTCAGTGGCACTTAGCATTGATGACCATTTTTCCTTCAGAAAAATTAATTCCTTTCTTTACTTTTTCTTATTCCATACACTAACAGCAGGGGTGATAGCGCCCCCGGGAGGATAGAAATTGGTTCTTAAGGGGCAAAAATATCTTTTTTTATGTATAAATAAATATACATGCAGTAATACATCAATAGGTATACAGATACACTGTGTATCTGTAGTATTAAAATTTCAGGTGGGAACTTATTAGGAAAAGAGTGTCTCAAAAGTCTCCTTAAGGTGTTAATAATAAACAAAAGGTTAGAAACACTGCTATATCCATCATTCAACTTCAACAATGATCAATTTCTCCCTCTCCTCCATTTTTATTGACAACACTGTTGTTAAGAATACTTCAAACCAAATACCAGACATCTTACTTCACCTGCAATTAGTTCAGAATGTACGTCCCATAAAGACTTTTTTTAAAAACCATGATCAGACAAAATTAATAATTCCTCAACATCATCTAAGCCCCCTTTGTATTCAAATATTCCTGATTATTTGAAAAGGTCTTTTCCAGTTGGTTTGTCAATCAGGACCCCAAAAAAGGTTCATACAGTGCATTTGGCCAAAGCCTCTTTTAATCTGTAATAGCTTGGGTCGCATGTCCCAAAGAACTTCCCACTTTTGATCTGATCTGGTGTTTAATAGACTCTCTATACTCCACATCCCCTCTAAATTTAGAAGGATCTAGAGATCGATTCAGATTAGGTTATCTTGGCAAACTTCAGTGATGTCACTGCTTTTCTTATGGCATCCCATCTCTGGCATTTAATGCCTGACTGCCCACTTTCAATAACATTAAGGCTCATCAGAGGGTCCAGCTTGACCCCTTCACCTCAAGTTTTGGTAATCTCTCCTATTTGGAATGATCCTTTTCACAGGCTAGCAAAACAATGGTTTTCTCTCTCTCTCGCTCTCTCTCTTTTGAGACAGGGTTTTGCTCTGTCACCCAGGCCACAGTGCAGTAGCACGTTCACGGCTCACTGTAGCCTCCTGCTCCTGAGTAGCTGGGACTACAGGTACTCACCACCACACCTTGCTAGATTTTGTATTTTTTGTAAAGATGTAGTTTTGCCATGTTGCCCAGGCTAGTCTCAAACTCCTGAGCTCAAGCAATCTGCCTGCTTCAGCCTCCCAAAGTCCTGGGATTACAGGTGTGAGCCACTGTGCCCAGCTGGTTTTCTCCTTTTTTCTTCCTGGCTACTCCTAAATTGCCTTCCTTTGCCCAGCCTCTCAGGATTGGTGCTCCTTTAGACTCTCACCTCTTCTCATTCTCTCTTCCAGGACTTGAACTGCCACATGCTGATAGTTCCCAGATTTCACTCTCAGGCTCAGGTGCCTCTGCTGAGTGTCTGACCATGATTTGCCTGGTGGATAACTCAGTAAGTCTGTGACTTGAAGATATTACCTGTCCTTTCAAACTCACATCTATTCTCCATTCTTTATCTAAGTGGAAGGTATCACCATAACCCTAGTTGTTTAAACCAGATTTCTGGGCCTGAGTCATAACTCATTCTCTCTTGCTGATCCCAATCTACCACCAAGTTCTGCTGAGTCTCTTACTCAGCTATCCAATATATTTACATGTTTCTAGCCCCACTGGCAGTATGTTGTTAGGTCACCATCAACTTGGATTAACAAAACATCCTCCTAACAGAGATCTCTGCGTCTGGAGGGAAATACATTCTATATGCCATATCCTTCTAAAACACCTATATGATCACCTCACTTGGCTACATGTATGATCCATCCACAGTGCCCCATTACTCTTATAAGAAAGTTCAAAAGTCTTACATGGCTGTAAGAATGTGACTGCCCAGCATGCACTTTCCCAGTCGCCCTTCATGGCTCCCTAAACCACTAACCAACAAGAGCTGCACACGCTCTCTCGGCCTCCAGGCGCCCCCTACTTGGAGTGTCCGGCTGCCTCATACTTCTTTGGGACTCAGCTTAAGCACCATTTTCTTTAGGACTCTCTTCCCTCAAACACCTAAACAAAGAAGCTGGTGTTTCATGAACACCCACAACCCTTACCCTTCTCTGATCACCACCTATTTGACCTTAGTCTATAACCTCTAGGAAATTAAAGCTCCATGAGGGACTAAATTGTACCTGTCTTATTCATTGTCTTCAGTGACTAGGGCACATAGTTGACAACCAATATATATTTGTTACATGAAAGAACGAGTGTTAATATTAAAGACCCTTCAATACCACTCCTAGAACATCACAGCATTACCTGTAAAAGCAAACTACAGTACTTACAGTATACATAGTAACTAACTTCTTAATGATTGACTCACCTCTATTTGTTGAATTCTCAAATTGGAAATTAAGTCCCAGCGAGCTGCTCCATTTTTGTCATATCCTCTAAAACCAAAGCCTGCAGCATTATTAATGGCATCAGCTATAGAAGGCAAAATTTTTAAGAAAGTATTAATTATCTCCATAATAATCTACTACATTCTCCCAGAAGGTATATGTTATCACACGTTTTATTCTTGAACAGTAAAAGCAGATTTATTCTAATTTTTAGGTCAGAAACGATATCACATACAATGAAAATAACACATCCACGACAATTAGTCAATAAAACATGAGACATTATGCATGAGTTGAGCGTAAGTGGAGTTTAAAAGCTGCTGAGGACCGATAGGTAAAAGCGAAGACTCATACAGGAAATGCTCCCCAACATGAGCTGTGCCAGTCGAATGAAGCAGAGTATGCTTGACCAGCTGCCAAGAAATTGCTAAGGGGATGTTTTGCCCTGGGAGCACCATGCTCTTTTTAATCATATATTTGAACTTTATTATAAACAATAATATATGTGAGGCATAATAGTTTCCTTCCATTTTTTTTTCTTTCTTGGTTCACCAGAACTTTATGTCTCCAGAATTTTTAAAAAATAGAGATATGGTCTCTCTCTGTCACTGCCCAGGCTGGAATGGCAGGTTTATAGCTCACTACAGCCTTGAACTCTTAGGCTCAAGCAATGCTCCTGCCTCAGCCTCCTGAGTAGCTGTGACTGCAGGTGTGCATCATCACGCCTGACAAATTTCTTTTTTTTTTTTTGTAAAGATAGAGTCTCACTATGTTGCCTAGGCTGGTCTCGAACTCCTGGCCTCAGTTGATCTTCCTACCTTGGCCTCCCAAAGTGCTGGAATTTCAGGCATGAGTTACAGAACCGAATCCAGAATTTGTTTCCTAATCCTTTTCACCACAATGCTCAATTAGTCATTTTTGCTTTATGTAAATGCTTGATTAAGCTGCAAAGAAAATTTCTGCCTCAAATGAGCCCTTTTCCAATCAACTTGAAAACTGTTTATGCTATGTGTATAATGACCAAAGAATAAACAAACTGAAATCCATCAAAGCCCAGCAAAATAATATGCCTATACGAACATGTATCTTAAAATTGTTTTATTGTTTATTAGTGTATTTTGTACATCAAACAAGATCTTTTAAAAATTACACTTTGGGGGAAAAGAATAAACAAGGTTTACTACTCTGTCAGATTTAATGAGGTCAGCCGCCTTTGTTCAATTCACATAAATATGAGCCTTTAAGGTAAGCATAGTAACAGATTCAATAGAATTAAAAGTAAACTCTATGAACCACATGGGCAGCATACCCATATAAATGGCTTCTGGGAACTCCCTCCTTCCAGCATGGTTGCCACCACTTCTGATTTGTTCGTGTATTCACCCTCTCCACCTTTTTTAGCCTACTGTGATCTGAGAGCAATGAAACTCCTAACCACCTTCTCATTTGACAACAAGATTGACTCAGGGTACGGTCAACAGCAACGAAACGAGAAGAGAACTGGGGAAATCAAACTGTGAGTGTCCACCTTCCATGTCCCTTGTCCCCCAATCTCCCTTCACAGACCCCGCCTAATCTTTACCCCAGGTAACGTAGCTCCCAAGAGAGCTTCCAAGTTGCCATTATATAGAGATCTTCCAAGTAACTGACCATTAACATTAATTCAATCTGTCCTTACACGGGCTAAATGTTTTTCAAACTTGAGTTAGAGGGAAAAAAACTGCTCAGATCCCAATAAATCCTTTTTTTGAGGTGATAAGGAGAAGAGGGCAGGGCCACAGGGCTGTGGAGACAAGAAACCTGATTCCTATTTGAGAACACTGAATTAAGGAATTAAGCACAATACAGGCTGCCTATCCACTAGCACCCATGAAATTATAATTTGAAAAATGTACATGTGGACACAAAAATCAGAAAGTAACCGTCCACATGATCCAGAATACATTCATACTATTTTTAAAATTATTAACAAAATACAAAAACAAAATTAAAGAATTTTGGACTGTTAGATTTCCCAAAAACAGATTTTTGAACCTCCAGAGATCATTAAACTCCAATTTCACAACCAAATGGACAGTTAAAAAAAGGTAATGGGGTGGAGATGAACATGGGCACATGCATGCTGAGCCTCAGCTGGTTTCTCCACTGACAGAGTTGACACCTGAACTTCAGGGCTTAACCAATACTAGGACCTCAGCTATTACTTGTGTTAAGACAGTACAGACACAGTTAAGTATTATTGAATGAAACAACTTTATTGCCTTACAGATAAAAATTCTTAAAATTCTTTAAATATAGTTCAATTTCAAATTGTCATTCATATATATTCTAATATGATTATTTCTTTAAGGAAGAATCAGGGAAAATGAATTAACTCACCTTTTCTTTGGTTTGTAAGTACGTAAAAATGCATAAGATTCATTTTTCAAACCAAATATTGGGGTTGGGGATAAGTATCCTAAGAATCATTTTAATTGTCATAATTGCAAACAAAAAATTAACGATGAATTTTTTCTTTTTTTTTTTTTAAGGCAAGGTCTCACTCTGTCACCCAGGCTGGAGTGTAATGGTGCGATCACAGCTCACTGCAGCCTCAACTTCCCTGGCTAAAGCAATTCACCCACCTCGGACTCTTGAGTAGCTGGGACCACAGGTATGCACAACCACACCTAGCTAATTTAAAAAAAAATTTTTTTTTTTGAAGAGATGTGGTCTTAACATGTTGCTCAGGCTGGTCTCAAACTCTTGGTCTCAAGTCATTCTCCTGCCTCAGCCTCCCAATGTGCTGGGATTACAGGCATGAGCTACTGCTCCTGGCCTAATGATGAATCTTGCGTATTTTTATATATTTACAGAGATTTTGTGATTTTTCTCAAAAGCCTTATAAATTCAATGATCTCATTCCATTTGATAGATTTTCAACAATAAGATGTCCAACTAAATCCAAAAACATGCAGAACTCTTACAATTCTATAAATCTAGTGATTCAACAGGTCACAATTCTTATAAAACCCTAAAAGTACCAGGTGTTTGGGAAAGTTCTCAGTCTCAATTTAAAGTCAGAATTCAAGTAGTACAGGAATCTCATTTGATATTACTGATGTCTAAATTTGGCTACAATAAAAATGTTCAATCCTTAAAGAAATATCAGATTAAAATCCATAAGGTAACATTCTATTTTCATTGGCCATTAACTCACCAGGTTAAAGTAACTTTTAATGATACTATTGTGCACAGTTGTATGATGAAAGATTGAAAATAATGATTCCAGCCCCAAACTGTATTTTATTGTAATCAAAATAAAACTGAGAGTAAAATGTGAAACCTCAGAGGTCTAATTATCACCCTCGTTTGGCTGATGTGTTTCTTCGTGCATTCATTCAAATATTCATTGCGTACCAAATATAAACAAGGCAATCAGGACAATCATAAGAATAAAGGAGCTTACAATCTTGTGGGTGAGATAAAAAAGACAACACATACATAAAAGAGGTTTCAATCTATTCAATGAAGGATTCTCTCTACTTCAGTTCAACCTTCAACACGTGGCCAGAATTATCTTCTTCCGCCATAGGATCAGACGATCAGGCGCTGCCTGAAGCCCCTTGTGGCTCATTCTGCAGAGCAGGCAAAGCCCTGTGAAAGCCCATTTCACCTGAGCAGGTCCCTCCTACATGCCCCTGCTAACATCTGCCAGGGAAAGCAAGATAGCTCCATGTTTCCTTGCTCGTAAGTGCAAAACCTGCCATTTTTCAATTGCTGAAATCACATTCAATCTTTCTGTTTTTGAGACAAAGTCTCACTCTGTTGCTCAGGCTGGAGTGCAGTGGTGCAATCATGGCTCACTGCAGCCTCAGACTCCTAGGCTCAAGCGGTCCTCCCACCCTAGACTCTCAAGTAGCCAGGACTACAGGTACACGCCACCAGGCCTAGTTGATTTTTAACAATTTTTTTGTAGAAACACGGGTCTCACTATGTTGCCGAGGCTGGTCTTGAATTCATTTTTCAAACCAAATATTGGGGTTGAGGATCAGAAGTACCCTAAGAATCATTTTAATTGTCATAATTGCAAACAAAAAATTAATGATGAATCTCCTGGCATAATTGATAACCCCCTATCAGTGTGCCAATATCATTTTATTCACTTTGCTGATAAACTACTGATCATATTATACTATGGTTAACGGTCTATTTAAGAGGTATCATAATGATAAGCTGAATACAATCATACTAAATTACAACCATCTGGAGAATAAGGACTATGTCTTATACATACTAGTATCTATTCTGGCTAGCACTAAATCTAGAATACAATAGGCATTCAACAAATATCTGTTGTATTTCCATTGATCCATTGATTTTTATTTTGTATTATAATAAAATTGATTCTGTTTTTAGAATATCCTTACATATGAACTGTGAGGTCTGTGTCTTCTACATAGATGACTTAATTTTTCCAATTGGTCTTTACGTATCCTCAAGAGGGCGCACTGATAGCAATCTATCGACAAGGAAAGACTGCTTCAACACAGGCACAAGGGAGTCTATTTACATGTTACTTACCTAGCGTCCATGCAAAATAGTATTTGGGTCTGGCAGCCAAAAGAGAGATATACAGATAGATAATCTTTGTTGGCCATGAAGCTGTAGCTTGAAAATGCTCGTCAATGTTGTACTCCACAGGTAATGTTGTCGAGATGGTCAAGTGAAATAACAAGGACAGCCCGCAAACTAAGAGCTTCTGAATTACCGCAGTCTGAAAAGCGTAAGGCGAGACTTCATCAACTTTATCCATGCTCCTTTTAATTCATTCTATGTATTATTAACAAATTGATCTTCCTCAACATCAGTCCTACAATTCTTCTGGTCAAAACTGAAGAACTAAATCGCACTTGGTGTTTAAAGTTTTCCATGGTCTCATGGTATGAACTTTTCCAACTCAATAAATACTACCTAGGGGTTACTGCTCAACTCATACTAAAATCTCTATTTGTGTATTCAGAACTTTCAGGAAATCAAGAAATCTAAAAGCAAGCATTGGTGTATCAGTGTGAATGGAAGTGAATACAAAAAAAAAATAACAATTACTTTTGGCAGTAAATTTTATATGGAGATATATATATATAATATTTTTTCCATTGTGTCTTTCCTGTATTTTCCAAATTCTAGGCATCTCATGGACGTTATTTTTACAATAAACAATCTATGCATCTCCGTAAATCTGAAAGTTAACAGAGCTTTGTTCAAGAATAATAAAAACCAAAAGAGTTACACACCTGAGAAGAATAAAATGTGTATAAAAGACTGGTGAAACAAGAGGCTATTCTTAGCAACACTGCAGTAAGGTTACATTACCAACTCAGGGTATTCTGTATTTTTACAACTCATGCTGTTTTTATATTTGTAGAAGGCCAGAATATTTCAACTTCATTTGGTATAAGAGAGATTATATAGGCTATGAAGAAAAAGAAGCAAGTGGAGAAAAGGCTAGATCCAGATGAAGTATGCAACAAAATAACTGGATTTGGAAGTGATCCATACAGTAACCAAATAGTATTCAAATTAACTGAAGTAATTTATCAATGAAGTGCCACATTTTAACACTTTATGTAATAGTGCCAAAAGAAAAGCTCCAAGGCAAGAGCCAAAGCATATGCCGGATGCACTGCACCTTGGGAAACAATACTTTATCATTGAGCTGTTCCGGTGTTCATGGACTCTGTGCAGCAGCTGTTATTCTCGTTTTCCATTGTCTTTTAATAAAATAAGGCTACTTTTTCCTTAGTGCCTCCCAAATATCTTACCTTTACATTTGAATTATAACATTTTAAAATGGTAGAGAAAAAATAGTAATTATAAATGAAGCAAGATGAAACAAATGGCCCCATATTTTAATTTTTAAATGAGGCATATCATTCTAGTAATATAGCAAGAAACCTGTAGCCACTAGACTGTACAGTTCTGAAGCAGGGCAGGGATATGGTGCTGCAATGAAAATGTAGATAATACAAAGACAGCCAGTATTCTAAGAGGTGATATCCTCAACCCCCTTCCCCTGCCCAGACCCAGGGTCCCAGAAGTCAAGTTTGTATGTCCTAGGCAGAATACTGGAGAATGCTTCACTCAAAACAAACAAACAAAAACGAACAGCCCCAGGGAAATGTCCTACATATGTCACGACAGAGACTGCCAAGTGTTACCTGGGAGCCCTCCTCCCCTTCCTGCACAGAAAAAGAAATTTCTCTTGGTTGCTTGGAAGTCTAGCTAAAGATGACACATCAGCACCTATGGTACACCCGAGTGTGGCTATGTGATTAGGGTCTGGTCAATAGGATGTGAGCAAAAGTAATCTATACAGGGAAGACGGAGTGTGGATCTCTCATACCATAGGGCCCCCATGTTATTAATGCACTGCTTACAGGTGAGTGTCCCACATGTAACATAAAAATAAATTTCTACTTTAAGTTCCTGTTATTTTGGTCCTTGTTTCAGCAGCCAAACCCATATCCTAAATGATGCAGACAGAGGAGAGGACAATGGAGAGGTCCCCGACAGAAGAGCCAGTGGGCTCCACAAGCATCCTTTTTTGGATCTCAATAATCTACATACTCCATTGATGCACAAGGAGCATCTAAATGCCATTTGAGGGACTTATTACTGACTATCACTATTTGACATTATAAAGTATATGAATGTAAAATTTAAATAAAATATATTATTTAAATGGTGGGAAAACACATTAAGAATATTTACCATTATCAACAACCTCTGATTTAGGATGTCTATAATCCAAAAGAGGAAAGTGACATTTTATGAGAGTAAAACCCATAAAAACTCAGTGAAGTAACAGAACATATATATGTGTATTATTTTTTGTCGAATTTGATTTACTACTATCACGTTTATAACATTTGATATTTTCAAGTATTTTACAAAATCGTTTGATCTTCATACAGTCTCTAAAATGGGGAAGACATTAGGATTCTCCTTTTGCAGAGAGGGACTCATACACATTAAGCAATGTGCGGAAATGATGAGCCAAACTGGTCACTGAGAGTCCAGCATCTTGATTCCTAGGCTTTCATTCTCCTTCTAGCATTCTAGAATAAACTTCTATGATGCTGTCTACAATTGTCTTTACTTTCTCTTACAGCAGGGAGACCACTAAAAGATTAAGTGGTCACCCTGGAGATACAAAACAGTCAATGAAAAGACACCAATTTCAAGTCTGGAATCCCATCCAGTTTGAGATGACATTTCTCAACACTTAACCAGTAACAGAAAATACAAAGAGAAAAACACCATTTTGGTATAAAATACAATGAGCCACATGGTAGGAAAGAAGCAATATACTATCTTTTGCGAAGATGCACATTTCTACATTCACTCTTTGTTGCCCACACAGTGGAGGGTGGTAGATTTGCAGGATAAGGGAGGTCACGTCACCCCTTGCTCTAAACCCTGCATTCAGGGAAAACATATTAGCCCCTTTCCTTCAACTCACAGACTTCCAGATTGGTCTGTTCTTTTTCATGGAAACTTTAGATTTTACCAGATGAAGTCTAACAGAAACTGAGCCTATACAGAGTCTCAATGCCTTTCCTTATGAAGCAGCATCCCAGCAGTTTCAAATACCCCAGTGGCTCAAAGAAAGTAAAAATTATGTTTGGTTGTAAGGCAACTTAGCACAGACTTGGAACCAGATTGCACTAGTTTGAATTCCAGTTCTACTGCCAACCTGGGAAATCTTGGTCAAACTTAGCCTCTGAGTCTTAGTTTCCTCATCTGTTAGATGGTAAGAAAAACAGTGCCTGCCTTGTATGACTGCTATGAGGGAGGGCTGAAACAGAGGTGTGAAGTCCACACCACAGAGCCTGACACACGGTGAGCACTGTCAAAGTGTTAGCTATTATTTATATCTTTATAATATTACTAATCTCTTCACTGTGGGAATAAGGAGCTGTTTTATGGAAAAGGTGATATTTGAAGTAGGCCTTTAAAGGAAAGAAAGAGTTCAACTGGCAATAATTAAGAAGAGGAGGGGGCAAGCAAAAAAGAAATGGAGGATACAGAGTGTTTACAATCTGCTGGAACACAAGGCAGGGGTTAAGACAGTCAGACAGAAAGAGGGAGGGAGGGAGGGAGGAGGGGGGGGGAGGGTTGGAGTGAAGGGGGGGGGGAGGGAGGGGGGAGGGTGGGCCTGGAAAATCATTAGGCTGGCCAATTCCATAATAAGAGCTTTCTTGTAAAATTCCCTGTAACTATAAAGCATTATTCTTATGAAGGAATTCAGCACATATTTTCTGAAGTGACTTTATTTATGTTCTTTAATCATGACTGTACTTCTACTAGATATCACCATTAAGTAACAGTATGAAGAGTCATTTATCTTGAAAAGTATTTTTAAAGAAATACATGGTTAAGTTCGAAATGTGAAAATATTTGTATATTTAAATAAATAAGACTAACCAATACATGCTATGAAGGCTCTAGATAAATCTCATGACCTTACATTTGGAGATGGCTCTGTTCTTTCAGACTGTATCTCTTCTTTTCCATTTTCACCTGATTGTGTCATATGGTATGATCTGCCTTCAATGAAAGTAATGTAGTCTTTGTAAGAGCAGAGTGGGCCTGCCAGGATCCCCATGAAGTTACAGTTGTAACTCAAATACTCCAGTAGGCTTGGCATGCGCCTGCAATGAAAAGACATGCAACCAGTGAGATGCAGCGTAAGCTTTCAGAACATTTGATAGAATAATCATCCACCTCACTGTTCCCCATTTCCAAAATAAGACAAGCTTTAATTTTCATTTGCACCCACACAACAAAAATTTTCAGGCTCAGGACACAGTCATGCTCAACAGTGTGTCTGAATAAGAGCTTCTTTACAGATACTTAGGGCAAATATAAAGGTTTCGACTTAGATTTCTCATGATGAAACAAATCAAAGATGGGTGCACTATCCATAAAGTGCTGTCTCTTCCCAGGCAATTATCTGCTCTTATAACAAACACATGCTGCACACCATATGCCCCACATGCTCCAGGGCCTGGATACAGCAGGAAACAAAGAGAAGACAATCCTATAGCCACAAGGCTTGCATACCAGTTGCAGAAAACAATAATAAAATATATAAAAAATATTTTCAGAGATGCTAAGTGCTACAAAAAGAAGGAACTCTTTTATGATATTAAGAAGTCAGAGAAGGCCTCTCTGGTAAGGTGACATTTGAGCAGAGACCAGAAAAAAGTGACAGGAATAATGTGGACAGGGATTCCAGGCAGAGGGAATGATGCTTGAGGACCCCTGAGCTGGGCATGCCTGGCAGCAAGGAGACCATGGGGCTGGAGTAGAGTGGTCCCAGGAGAGGAGGTAGGAGCAGGGCAGACAGCTGAGCTGAACCAGACAGGGCCTGCCTTACTAGCCATGGCAGGGACTTTAGATTTTATTCTGACTTAAATGAAAAAACATAGCAGGGTTTTAAAAGACCTATGTCTGAAAACACATCACTTCAGCCCATGTGTGGGGCTCCTGCTATCTCCAGGCAGGAGATGACGATGGCTGGAGGAGGGGCAGACGCTCTGCACGTGTCCTGGCAGTGGAGCCTGAAGTCTGCTGAGGGATTGGCTATGGGGTGGAAGAGAAAAGGGAGTCAAGAATGTCCCAAAACATTTTTAATTCCATTCCTTAGAGGTCTGTCCAAATGATACATGGTACCTACGGGTAATAGGGTGAAAACAGTTAGTTTATACAAGAGGCTGTTTAGACTATTTATGTTATCATATAAATGAATAAGGAGCGTATATTTAAAAAAAAAATACAGTTCCATTAAGAAAGTCTACTGTCGATTATAAGCCATCACAAAGAAACCACAACTGCACCTGGGCACGGCAGGCAGGCTTCTCAAACATGTCACAGTCCCTCCTCCTCTCTGAATAGGATAAGCTGTCTCCTTAAAATATACAAACATTCTTGTGGACAAGAGAAGTTGAGAGAATACCCTCATAATAGAATGTATTTTTAAAAACCAATTTAAGAGATAGGTCTTGTTATGTTGCCCAGGCTGGACTCAAACTCCTGAGCTCAAGCAATCCTTCTGCCTTGGCCCCCTGAGTAGCTGGGATGACAGGCACTCACCACCTTGCCTAGCTTAGCATACATTAATTTTCTTTGAGAAATTACATAGAACAAAATAGTGATTCCTGCCCATCTGATACTGTCTAGGTTACCACTCAGTCAAAACTACTTTTCTAACTTTTCCAGACTTATTTTTCCACTTTTAAAAATGTCTTGAACCTTAAGTATTTTCTTTTCAGGGCTTGAAATTGATGACAGAAAATGTTTCTGGCAGATTTTCTCTTTTAGTTATTTCTATTTAATGATGAAACAGCCTGCTTTCTCACTGTATCAAAGACTGGGGTAAGTACCCTGCAGTCACAAGGGTACAAAAGAACTCCTTGTACTCCAGCAGCAGAGTTTCATTCTCAATACCAATTATTTTAACACCAAGTCAACTATGTATCACCATTAGCAAGGACAGGAGGAGGTTCTTAATCATGAAACTTGCTTAAGTAATTTTTGGCTCCACTGTCATATCAAACAAGTCATTTTAGGTACTGAAGTAAATTACTACACTTGTTTATAAAATCAGAACTTAAATCTAATTGTAATGTATAATACCAAACAAAAGATTCATTCATTCATTCCATTGATAATTATTTGATATCAACCATGTGCTGTCTCAAGTTTGGGCTTCTCCCTGTGGAATTATTGACACTTTGGACCCCCAGTTCTCTGTTGTGGCATCCTCCTGCACACTGCAGGGTGTTTGGCAGCACCCCCTAGGTGCTACCCACCAGATGTCAGTAGCACCACCCCCTGAGCAGTAACAACCAAAAATGTCTGAATCTTGGAGGCAAAATCACTCCAAATAATGAACTACAACTTAGATAACGGGAACAATAAATGAGACAAAGTTCTTGTCCTCAATGACCTTATATTGAGGGGCATGGAGAGGGACAATTAAAACAAATGTCTTGTATAACATCAGACAGTTACACCTACTACTGAAGAAAACAAAGCAGAGCAAAGGGACAGAAAGCGATGGCAGGAAGGGAGGGGTACTTTTGATAGAGTGGTTTGCACAGTAAAGAATGGATGGATTGAGGAAGCGTGGGCGAGCTCTGGGCTCTTGCTGGGCCTTATATGCTGTGGCCAGGGGTTTGTAATTCTATTCTAAATTACAGGGGAAGCCACTGGAGGATTTTCATCAGGGGAGGGGAATAATATAATCCAATGCACATTAAAAGCTTCTCTGGCTGCTAGCTGAAAAGTAGGCTGCACAGGGGATGGGAGAAAATAGGGATGCCAGGTAGGAAGGCTCCCACAGCAGACTAAGTAGAAAATGAGGGTTTGTGCTGGGATGTGACCTGCGGAAGTGGTGAAAATCAGTCAGATCAGAGATGAATTTTAAGGGAAGGGCTAACTTAACTTGCTGGTGAAGTGTATTTGCTATAAGAAAACGGAAGTCCCCCCAAGCCACCAGTGATAATGCCACTGTTATTAACTAAGTGGGTGATAATGGTGGAGGAACAGATGTGGAGGAGGAAGGAAGAGGGGACCAAATTAGAAGTTCTGTTTTGAACATGTTCTGTTTGAGCTGCCTGTCACTATCCATGTAGAGACCTTAAAATGGCAGTTGGATAAATGAGGCTGGAGCTGAGGGGACAGGATTGTGCGGGAATATAAATTTAGAAGACTTCAAACACGAAGATGGTATTTAAAGTCAATGGATGTGACCACCTGGAGAAAACTGAGAGGTCCAGGTCTGAGCCCTGGAATACAGCAGGTTATTCCTGTGGTAAGGCAGAAGCAGGGTCAGAGGATTAAGCAGAAGAAACAGAGAGTCAGTGAGGGGGGAGAAAAAGGGAAAGAATGGAGTGTCCTGGAAGGAAGTGAAGAAGGTATTTCAGAAGAGTGGCCAGCTGGCCAGTGCTGTTGAGGTTCGGCATCATGCAAACAGGCTGACAATGAAATCGGCCAAGACTAAGAGCGATCCTGAAAGAATGATTTCAGACCAAGAATGGGGACAAATACCTTAATGCAGGGGGTTGAGGAGAGAATGGGAAGGACACTGAATGTTGACAAAGCCTTCAAAAAGTGCTCTTCTAAAGGAGTGTGCAATAATGGGGTGACGGCTAGAAAGGAATGAGAGGTGCCATGAGCTTGTTCTGTTCAGGTGGTGGGGATGGCCCAACGGAGAGGCAGAAATCAGTGAGCGAACAGACAGGAGTAACTGACACAGCAAAATCCTTGAGAAGGAAGTGGACTCCGTGCCACAGTGAGAAGCTGGCCTTAGATTACGGACAGCTAGTATTTGATACCAGGAAACAAAGTAGAGCACTGTGTTAGAGATTCAGGCATCATTGTATATTTGGTGGTTGCAAAATCAAAGTAGGATTGCTTTTTTTTCTCTCCAAAAAATAAAATTTTGCTACCAACATAAGTAGCGGGGACAGAGTGTTAAAAGTCTGGGAGAAAGGAGAATATATCATCTTAGTAGAGTGTGGGAAATGAGTGGACTAAGGAAATGTGATCGAGCCACTGGCAATACTAGGAATCCTAATTTTAAATTTGGAGTAACAAATTCAAATGAGTCCAGTCAGCAAGAAGATGTTTTTCCATTCAGCTTTATTCCACTGTTTAGGTAGGTGGAGAGGTTGGGTTACCTAGGTCTGGGGATTTTCTCTCGATGTGAGAGGCACGGGGGAAATGGGGGCTGAGTGTAAATGAGTAGCTACTGGGATAGCCCAAGGGCCCCTAAAGATCAAAGAACCCAGACCAAATTAACCTCTAGAAAAGTATACTTAAGTGTGTATTTATTGCTATATAAAGACTGACTATAGAGGTTATCAGAATAGAACATTGTTAAAGATGGGGAAAATATAAAAAGATCCCTAAGACATGCTACCTGGGATCAAAGATGAATGAATACTTAGTGTAGTTCTAAATAATATCACAAACAATCTCATTCTTCTAGCAGTTACGCACTTATTCATTCTAGATTTAGAAACAAGGTAATCTACAGATAATTTTTCTTTAAGTATAATGCGTATTCCATCTCAAATTATTTTCGGTTGAGATGGACCCTGTGAAATTAAGCCATTCCTTAGATTAGTCATCAGAGTGCCTTCAATAAATGAAGTAGAAGCCTATCGCAGATGAATTCCTCAAATAATAATGAGAATTATCTGACTGGTTCTTTATTATTTCAAAATATGGCATCTATATACTATACTAATGCATTATATCTTAGCCCAGTACCTGCCATCAAGTTATCGGCCTGTAAATGGTACCTGCCATTACTATCAGTAATTACTAGATGGCAGACATGAAGACAATACTATCCTCCTGTCTTCAAGGAACTCAGAGTCTCACAGGGACAAAAACTAGCAGCTAGCCTCATGGCCCACAGGAGTCATACATGTACAATCACATAGGCAGGGTGCTGCAGGAGCCTTAGAGAGGATACCCAGTCCCACCCAGCAGGCTTTGGCAGGAGGGAGGTGCGTGGAGGGAGTGAGGCTTGATTTTCAGAAGTAAGTACCTCTAGAAGGACTAGTAAGCCTAAGCCACAGGAGGAATGTGGTTCCTAGGCAGAGGCATGGGAAGCATGACAGGATACGATGCAAAGGCACGTACCTTACAGCTAAATCCCTCTGTGAGGAAGTCAGTTCTTCATCCTTCCGAAACATCCCTGAGAAACAAAAATTGGTACTTTTATCAATTAAGATTTCTCCCAAAATGGCATTTTTGCCCATGCACACTTTCATTACTTTCCTCATTTGAAATTCATGCTATTATATTCCCAATTTTGATATAATGACTATTCCATTCCTTCTTATGGCAACACAGGCTCAATCATGTGAAAAGTCTTTATAAAATAACACATGGGTGGTCATTTGACTCCACTCTAAGGGAAGTTATAATTAAACTAAAGAATTCCCAAATGCTGGCACTTTTTAAATTATAATGTTATTGTCCTTAACTGTAAATGCTATGACTTTTCCAAAAGGGCCATTACAATTTTTCTATTATTGGATAACTTAAATGACTACACATTAGTACTATAAACTAGAAGCTCAACATAAAGCAAGGAGCAATTTCCTTACTCCTGATGACTCCAATGCATGAAAACCAAACTCAAATATATGATCTTTATCCATCTATTTACTTTCTCTTCAAAGAAGAGGATGTATTATTTAAGATTACACATCAACTTACTAGATCCATATGCTTTGAAAATATATATACCTCAAATCCAATTTAAAGACTAAAGGGGAACTAAATTAAAAAGCAAGGAGCAACATTAATATTCATAAATTAATATTAATAAAGTATTAATATTCCCAAAAGAAACAAAGCTAAAGCAATTAAAAAACACTGAAATAGACAAAACTAAAAACAGGAAAAGACAAATCATAAAAGAACTACATGTAGCCAACTAATGTGAAATGTTAATTTCATAACATTTTTATTATAAACCATTAAATGTACATTAAAAGAGCAAGATGCCGTTTACACTTATAAGTATGCAGAAATTTTAAAGGGCTCTTACTCATATTGTACAATCTAAATTATGTAAAACACACATTTTATGTATTTTATATGTATATAATACAAAGATGAGAAGAAAATAATTACTTCCTTAAAATGTCTCCGAAACTATTCTATGCACTGAGGAAAGAGCAGAGGAAAAACAAACTCCCTGCTTTTATAGCACTTACAGTCTAGTAGGGAGATAGAAGATAAACAAATGAGCTACCAAGAGGAACTCACATCATCTTTCTGTAAACCAGTATAGCAAACACTTTAGGTATCTTTCTACCCTCTGTTCCTAAAACTCTAGCCCTAAGGAAATAACTGAAGGTGTGGTTCAAGATATATGACACGGATCATCACAAGTTTATACATAATAGCAAAAAAAAAAAAAAAAAAAAAGTAGCAGCCTGTATATGCTACAATTGAAGAATGGGAATATATTATACATTCCACTTTTGACAATTATGTAAAAAGAAAACTATGCCTCATAAGATGATAAAGGAAATATTAATAAAAAAAAAGAAGGGACCAGGCGCAGTGGCTCACATCTGTAATCCCAGCACTTTGGGAGGCCAAGGCAGCTGAATCACCTGAGGTCAGGAGTTTGAGACCAGCTTGGCCAACATGGTGAAATCTTGTCTCTACTTTAAAAAAATAAAAAAATTAGCCAGGCATGGTGGTACATGCCTGTAATCCCAACTACTCAGGAGGCTGAGGCATGAGAATCGCTTGGATCTGGGAAGCGGAGGTTGTAGTGGGCCTAGACTGCCTAAAAAGAAAAAAAAAAAAGGAGGAGGAGGAGGTCTGGCTCTGAGGATTGTTGGGGGAGGGATACAGAAGATTATTTTTCTTTGTATTTCCAATTCATGTTTTTCAAATTTTCCTCAATGACCACATACCTACTTTTTATAATCAGAGGGAAAAAAAAACACTTAAAAAAAGATGATCAAAGATGAGAAAAAGGTAAAATACTATCAGGATTTAAACACTAAAAAAGGATAACTCCTATTTGTGACAATTCTATTTTCTTTCCCCATATCAGATACACTGCTGTCCACCCTTTCCTTAAAAAAACAACAGCCATCTTTAGAAATGAGGATAAGTATTCGATTGTCTAAAATTTCTTATCCTTTTTTTCCTCATGCTTTTACCAGAAGGGTGACATGTTAATAACCTTATTTGTGATTTCAAGCTTTGCCATACATAAACTATGTTGTTAGGTTTAGTCAGCATTTCCAAGTGTTTGGCATAGGGTGGGCCTCTACACCAGTTCAGCCTGCCACGTTGCTCAGAGAAGCTATTATTGCTTTCAAAGTATAAACTAGCCAAGAAAAGCAGACACGGAGCTTAAAGGATAGAGTTACATAGAACAAACGTGTCAAAAGCCTACAAGCACAACAAGCTCAGCCTCCCTTCTCAGTTCACAATTTGGGAACTTGCCAAAAGAATCACCAAAAACCAATTAAAGAAAAGATATCATTTTTTAACGCTAAAAGTCTAACCAGGTACAGACAAGGCAGTCCAGCAAACAATGGGATACAAGAAGACTTCTGAGCCCCGTCGTGACAACACGTTGTTGGCAGAGACTGAACGCCTGCCACTGTTTGTTGCTGCTGTGTCTAACCGCTGATGCTGGCAGTCCAGAGATTCTACTGTGCTGCTTAGTTGCCCTGAGTACACTATTTTTTCACTGTATCAATGGAATGGTATATTTTCCACTGTTTAGTACTTACGTATGACTAGGTATAAGAAAATGATTGCTTATCATTTTCATGTAAATTCGGAGTTCAGGAATCATGGTGATGCCAAACAACCACTGATTATCCACATGGGTGGCTGCGATAGTGACATCTTTGGTTTCTGATGGTTCGATGTACACATATTTTGTTTCATGCATAAAATTATTAAAAATAATGTAGAAAATTACCCTCAGTCTATGTGTATAAGGTATATATAAAACATAAATTAATTCTGTGTTTAGGCTTGGGTCCCAAGATATCTCATTATATGTATGCAAATATTCCAAAATCCAAACATCCAAAATTGGAAACACTTCTGATCTCAAGCATTTCATATAAGAGATACTCAACCTGTACAAACATTCAGTTAGCTGAAGTATTCCTACTGTAAGGTGACATCAATGAAGCTGCCAGCAAGAAAACCAGCCATGCTATCCCTAAAGGCCACAATACAAGTCAGACTTCATGAACAAACATGCCAGCAGGTTATTTTAGTCATTCAACCTAAGCCCTCAGCAATCTCAAAGCCAGAAGGGTAAACAGGCTCTGTTATGTGAGGGTGATGAAATGTCTTAAAAACCATGCCTAGAAATATCCAAAGATACAGTAACACCTGCTTCCTGAGGATGCAAGTATGAATGATGCTGCTGGATTGATTCACTGATAGTTGAGAAACAGACACAGTTATAGATAATTCACTTGGTTTCATCTAGGAGTGGTCCAGAACCAGACTGTGCAGAAACAGGTTAGCAGAGTTCTGAGTCTGCTGTCCTTAGTAAGGCCTTCTTATAAGGTGTGCGCTGGTCCACAGTCCCCTACACCAATATGAAATGTTCCCTATGCCTAGCCTATTTGTGTCAACAACATGGTTTATTCAGAACACCTGCTTTCCTTCTGGGAGCCTGGAATTTGGTGTGTGTTAGGCAGCAGAAGCCTATGTGACCAGCCCCTGATAAAAACTTTAAGAGTTTCCCGAATAGACACTTCCCAGCTGTTGTCACAATTTGTTGCTGGGGAGATTAAGTACATTCTTAATTCCCCCAGCAACAAATTGTGAAAAACTAAGTGATTTCCCTGGGAGAGGACTTCTGGAAACTTGTGCCTGGTTTCTTCTAGACTTCACTACAGGCACATTGCATTTTACTGACTTTGCTTGGAATCTTTTCACTGTAATAAATGTTAGCCATGAATACAACTACATGCTAAGTCCTGTGAATCACCAAGCTGGGAGTGGTGTTGGGGTCCCCCGACACACAGACAATAAGGCCCTTCTCTGAAAGACTAGCTGAGAAAATATAGATTAGACAGGGTTCAATCCATCCCTTGGGAATAAAGGGGTAGGTGGTATCGGGAGTGGCAGATCTGTAGCAGACTGTCTCAAAGGATGTACTGAAGCAAACTGGAAGAGGAATCCAGTTTGATAAGTTAAAGGGAATGAAATCTTTAAATGCTGCCAAGATTAATCAAAATCTAAACTGTTCTAAACAGATAATTACCATTAAATCCATTTAAAAGAAGAGGTCACAAAATGGGGTTTCTTGTGCTTCTAATTCTGAGTTGAATATATATTGTCATCAGATACTTCTAGACCTATGGACAAAATTATATCCTTGACCCATGACTTTTCTATATTCTCTTTCCTGTGTCACAGGAGTAACCTGTTATCGGCATACTACAGAAGTTTTAGCACCTAAAGATAACTGTATGTTTTTACCTACAGTGTTTTCTAGTATTAAGTTTTATAACTACAATCTCGTTTCAAGGTCTGGTGAGTTTCGCCAGATGACTTCATTGATCAGAATGCAAGAACTACAAGACACTGCACAAATTATAATCCATGAAAAAACCCTTCAAGCTGGATCATACTGTTAATTGACAACGGAGAAAACTGAAGCAGTAAGAAGCTGAACTGGAATCTGAGTATACATTTGCCCATCCATCAAAACCCACACTCCTACCACACCTCATGTTCCCTCCTGTATGCGGAATTTTCCCTCAGAGGTGAAGTTTCTCTTTCGAAGGGCAGAGTTGCTGTTTAACATGCAGACTTGATTAAACACGTAGCAGAGATTTTTTAATCTACCTCTTTCCTTCCACCATCCCCCAGAAATGCTTGTAGTAGTCAGGGGTGAGAAGAGGAAAAATTCTCTCTCTCTCTCTCTCTCACTTTCTTTTCACAGTACTGTCAGGGCTGGTCCTCAGACAGTAAGAGGGAAATCCTGCCCGGGGAGTTGCACTGGATAGGTGGAGACACAGTGGGGCTCAAATTCATCTCAAAAGCTCCCCAGGATACATACAAATGACTGTTCTAATAGGGATGCTTCACTTCTTCAGTCTTTGAAGGAATCAGAGTCCAAATCTTATGACTCAGAGTCCTGTTAGGCCAGGGCTATATGTCACTCATTGAAAAGAGAAATATTTATAATAAAAATATACGGAAACATATAATTATGAATGTATGTATAAAAAGGAAAGAGGTGGGGGGAAACACATAAATTATAATAAGAATTTAACAAGGAGATGAAGCAGGAAATAATAAAACTTGATCTAGACCAAATGTCTCTTTCCTTTATATGTCAAATTACCACTACTGTGGGCCATATGACTAAATCACACCATTTTACTTTTTGTCACTGCACTGAATTCAAAATGAAGATAAAACACTGAAGGAAAGCAAGCATTTTTCATAACCCTATGCAGAGTTAAATATATTCCACTATCTTAACACCCTCCCTTTCCTTACTCTAACAGCAGAAAGTTACGGTAATATCTCAAGCAAAAGATTATTGGAATTAAAATTTTTTCAGCAACAAAAAATTAATTTCAGAATTCTTACCATCATGAATTTCGTAAGCCAAACTAGTGATCTTCTGAGTAATGATCATCATTGGGCTGTGACAAGATAAAAAAAATTAGTATTTTAAAAGAAGAAAGTTAAAACAATACTTATGACATATGAATAAGAGTTTATTCTGCTTTTATCACTACAAATCCTGAAATTTTTAACATAAAAAAGACCTCCAAGGGATTTCAGCAATAACTCAGAGGTTATGTGTTTGAGGACAGCACAGGAGATGGCGATCTGGGCTTTCTCCCAGGCTTCAAAAAACAAAACAAAACAAAAAATGCTCCCCCCTAAAAGAAATCTCTAGTGACCCAGTGATCTAACCCAGTCTCCTCATCTTATACATTAGAAAATGAGGCCCGGAGGTGAGAGGCACACAGGCATGAGAGGAGGCCCCGGTCTCCTGCTTTTGGCTCAGTACTGTCTTCAACATCACGGACACACTCCCAACTTCTTACTCTAAAAACTAGGCACCCAGGGGTTATTGACTCTAAACACAGTCAGGTAAGGCACTGAAATCATGATGTATTTTAAAGGAAAAAGGACTTTAAAATAATAAAAGAAAACACATTATTTTCCTATATTTTGTTATTATTATTGAATGAATAACTTGGAAAGGAAAAAAACACAGCCATATGAGAAAACCACCAGGATGCATCTTACACTTCATTAGCTTTCAGACAATATTAAAAAACAGTTAACGCTGGGCTCAGTCGCTCATGCCTGTCATCCCAGCACTTTCGGAGGCTGAGGCGGGAGAATTGCTTGAACCCAGGAGTTTGAGACCACCCTGGTTAACATAGCAACACCCCATCTCTATAAAAATAAATAAAACCACCAGGAAGGCTTTTATCCTTTAACTATTACATTAGCTTACAGACAATATTGAAGAACAATTGACCAAAAGTTATTTAACTTTCTGAAACGATAATACAATAAAACCAAGAAATTGTGTTTTGCCTTAAGGTAGACTGTGCTCTATACATGTGAGGAGGAGAACACGTTTCAGGGAATCCTGAAGACCCCATGCACTGCCACGGAAAGGGGGCCCCAGGCTAGGGAGACTTAGTCCCCTGTGGGTCTAGTTCTTGACCTGCTCACTTCCACCAGTCCACATCGCTCAGTGCAGAAACTCGATCGTGTCCACTGCTGCCTTTGGCAAACAGATGTGTCTTTCTCACAATGTCAACAAACAGCAGCAAGGGTTTGCTTTAAACATTCCTACCACTGGTAATTTGATTTACAGACCTGGGCCCTTAAGAAGCTACAGCTCATTCTCCTCAACTAATAGGAATGTCTTATCAATGACAAATGGTCTTAAACTGGAAGTACTTAAGGGAGGAGATTTCTCTTAGGTTCAATTCTAAAAGTCAATTCTTACATTTACATACTCACTTCTCAGGGAATCATGCTTCAACCAACCTAATCCCCCAGGTGGCTTGGAACACCCAATTGCTATTTCTGCTTTGTAAGATATCCTTCAAGCCCTTGAAAATTATAAAAAATGCCCTGTAATTTCCATTTCCCCAGGGGGAGATAATCATTTTTCTCAATCTGCCTAATTCTTTTCATAGTTTAGCTCACTGGTGAGTTATGCAATTCTCTTCGGTTCTAAATTCTAATACCCATGTCTCCTTAAAACATAATAACAACTGATAAAATAATTATTACATTTATTTTGTCAATTCAGTGACACAGTAATCTGTCAGGTATACACAGACAAGATGTTTAAAAAATGCAAATATGGGCTCTGAGTGTCCTTCTTGTGCCCGCTTGGGCCCCTGAACCCACATACAACTTCTATTCCATCAGGTGCAAAGGACACAGAAGCTCTTACAAAAGTGAGCTTCACTGGGAGGACAGGTGATGTGTGGCTGGGAGGACGGGTGACATGTAGCTGTACTGCTGATTCCAGGAATCATGCCCCTTAACAGAGTAGGAGGGAAGACAGGAAATGGACCTGAATACTCCAGCCTCTCTCCAAATGCTGCTCTCTCCACCCAGACTACTCTTCCTGGAATCATTTTACAAGGATAAGCTACTCCTCCCTCTTCAAGAATCAGCTGAAGAGTCACTTCACACAAGAGGCCCACTGGACAACTCTAACTCAAGGAGCTTCCCTCTGCCCACACAAACACATACACATGCATGAAAATACACACACTTCATTTCATCTCAGTCCTTGTTTGTTTCCTTTACAGTGTTTTCACATTCATAGTTGTTCTCTTTATTAAATCTCTCCCTTTTAAATCTCCCCCTTTTTTAGAAAGTCCATGAGGCAAGGAACCTAACAGTCTTGTTCACCACTAAACCTTCAGCATGTATCACAGTGTCTGGCACAAAATATGTGCTAAATAAAAAAAACATTTCTTTTCATCAGGGTCTCGCTCTGTCACCCAGGCTGGAGTGCAGTAGTGCAATCTTGTCTGACTGAATTCAGCCTCGAACTTCTGGGCTCAAATGATTCTCCCACCCCAGCCTCCCAGGCAGCTGACACTACAGGAGCGTGCCACCACACATGGATAATCTTTAAATTTCTGGTTAACACGAGGTTTTGCCATGTTGTTCAGGCTGTTCTCAAACTCCTGGACTCAAGTGATCCACCCGCCTCAGCCTCTCAAAGTACTGAAATTACAGGTGTGAGCCACTGTGCCTGGCCAACAAATATTTTTAAAATATCAAATAAATGGAATCTAAGTGTCCAGTCAAGATCTATTACTCCCTCTATAGGTTATACACCCCCCGCTATCTGTTCTTTCTCGTCTGTGCTTGAAAGCATTTATTATATATTGTAATTATTTGTTTACTCTTCTATTACCACAAAAAAAAAAAAACCATGAGCTACTCAACAGTTAGGAATACTGCTTTAATTATTTCTGTGCCTTCAGTACCTGGTACATAATACACCGTCAATGTACTGACTGGTTTATAGAAATGCCTCATCATTTTTTTTTGCTTCATTTCCTGATGGTCATTAGCTCCATATATTCCTTTTGTTTTAAGTGGATGGCAGTCCCAATGCTCTGGTCCAACCCGTCAGCCAGGCATTGCACATGGAGAAACAGAAAGACTGAAGACAAAACTATCATAGAGTAACTACACAGGCATATGTTATGGATGAAAATAAGATTATAGGAAAAGTTCAGTAAGGGATGAGTAGATTAAAGAGAGCTCAGAAATGCAAACTAGAGGGCAAAACAGCCAGATGAGTCCAACACAGCACAGCAGGTACACAGCTAGGAGACAAGAAAGACTGATGAGAAAGGGCACACCTCACCCTTCCACAGCAGAAACAACTGTGCAGAAGGCATTTACAAATGAAAATAGTCATAACAGTACACAGGGACGTAACTGCAGTGGGCTTTCTTAACAGTATATTTTGTTCACAAACATCTGTTTCAGGACAAATTAGGGTGATTTACACAACTATTTCACTTACATCTTTACTGACATTTTAACTATTGAATATCTGTTGACTTTGTATTAATGCAGCCTCAGTATCTAACCACTTCCTGGACCCTAGGAAAAGCCTGGGATGCCTTGACACAAATTGGAAAGAACCTCCTGTTTCGCTAGGATGGAAGCTGGAAGCTGGAAGCTGGAAAAGGGAGAAGAAGCGGAAGGCTTTGGAACTTCCAGAGTGAGGTCAGGGCCTGTGGATGGAGGTTTTTTTCCTTCTATAGGACAACGTTAGTATATTTAAGTGGTATTACCGAAATTTCCTTCCAGTGATACTCTGCTAAGACTGTGGGAAAATATGAAATATAACTGTTCAAAGTAATACTTCAACTGATGTAACAGTTTTAGCTAATATAAAAAAATTCAGCTTAAGTAAAAATTCTAGGCTTTCTGAAATAAAAAAAGGATAAAAAATTTAAAAATATATTTACATACTTTTTATCTCTACAAAGAACAAGAATAGGATTTGGTTCTATTACACAGTAAAACTCAAATGTAGTTAAACATTACAAGCGAATGAATGCTAAAAATGAACAATTACTTTTGTGATTGTTCTGTTATCTCTAGGAGACCACTAAACTCAAGGGAAGTCTGTATGTTAATGCTACAAATCAACTAAAAGCATCTACTGGGTAACAGCTTGCCACCAGGATATGTGTTACCCGGCAACAGAGGCAAACTGTTAACTGTCCACCTCAGTTATCCTAAGTGTACAAGTACCCTTTCATCCAAACAAGATCTGCTGACACCAAGTAAACTCACTTGCCTAACACCAAATGAATACAAAGTGAGAGATGATGGAAAAGGCCATTAGTCTTTGTCCATTCATTCATTTACTAACAGCTTCATTCAGAAAAAAACAAGTATTTAATGAATGAACACCTACGATGCACCAAGTACTGTTCTATGTGCCAAAGACACAGTGTGAACAGGACAGGCCAAGTCCTTGCTGTTATGGAATTTATACTGCACTGGAGAGAGACAGATTATAAACGAATAAACAGGTAAAGATACAATGTGTCAGACGCTATGAGCCCTGGGCAATAAAATGAAGCAGAGTAAGGGGCCTAAGGAATACAGGACACAGGTGGGAACCAGCCTCACCCAGAAGATGACAGTGAACTAGAGGACAAGCTCTGTGGAGACCTGGAGTAAAAATGTTCCAGGAAGAGAGAAAGGCAAGTTCAACAGTCTAGGAAGAAGTGTGACTGGCATGTTGCAGGATCAGCATGGAGGCCAATGTGACAGTGAGTAATGGGGACACAAACAAAGGTTGAAGACGGCAAGCAGGAGGCCGGATCCAGCAGGCTCTCGCCTTCTCAGGGTGAGGACACAGGCATCGATCTGAGTGAGACAAGAAACTACTGGAGGATTTTAGGCAAAAAAGTGACTCGGTTTTAAAAGAATATATTCTGACTCTAGGTTGAAAAAAGACTGTGGGGGTACCAGAGGCAGGGGGAAGGTGGGCAGGGGAGGATGGTGGCCCAGACCAGGGTAACAGCACAGGAGGTCTGAAGTCACTTCTAGATCTATTCTGAAGGGAAAGTCAATGGGATTTGATAATGTATCCTATGCAGGTTTTCATACT